ATGCATATGTATGTGAAAGTCAACAGACAACCCAGGTGTCATCCACCTTTCTCTTGAAGCAGGTCTTTAACTGGACCAGAACTTCACCAAGTAGGCAGAAGCACCAGAGCTTCTAGGGCTCTGCCTGTTACCTCACCATACCTGGGATTACAAGCATATATTACCACCCTGAGCGAATTTACATGGGTTCTCAGGGTCAAACTCGGGTCTACATGGTGGCACAGTAGTGTTTTACCTATGGAGCCTTCTTCCCAGCCCCATCACCCCCCTTCGGCATACGCATACACCTTTGGAAACGGAGGCAGGAGGGTACATGCATATGACATCTTATTTCGGGATGACAGAACCAAGGAGGCTATGGACACAGGCTGCTCAGAGCCAGGGTACCGGGTGCTGGATGGCAGTGGAGAGACTGACTTCAAAGGACTCAGAAAAGCTGCAGACTGGATAGTCAAGGAGCTAAACCACAGAGGCACTTTCTTGTCTCAAGTGAGTAGAGTGCAGACTGGATAGTCAAGGAGCTAAGCCACAGAGGCACTCTCTTGTCTCAAGTGAGTAGACAGGTCATGACTGTGTGGGGTGCATCTCTCACAGCGCTGCTCTCTCTCAGGCCTCCGCAGTCCTCACTAAACCTGCTCCTGAGACACCGCCATGCCTAGCAAGGCCAGTGACATCAAGCAGGGGACCCAAAAGTCAGGACTGTGATGGGCTTGCTTTCCAAGTTTTGATCTTCACACTCAGTACATCTCTCCCTTTGTATTATTTTGCCTGGAACTCTAGTCAGACATCACCTAGTGATATAGATATCTGGAAAACAGCAGCAATAAATGCACATGATTAATGTGAATTATTATCTGATACACTATTATCTGTACATACTGATACAACTTTGGATTAGTAAAAATAACGGTAGTGCCAATAATCCTCCTGTCATAGGGTTTACCTGTATTATCTCACCTAATGTTCAGAATATTCTTTTAAGTTTTTTTTGCAGATATTAATTATTTATATCTGTGTGTGTGCGTGTGTGCCATGGCATGGATGTAGGGGTCAAAGAACAGCTTATGGGAACTGGTTCTCTCCACCATGTGGGTCTCAAGGATTGAACTCAGGTCATCAGAGTTGGCAGCAAGTGCCTTTACCCACTGAGCTTTCTCACTGGCCCCAAACACTCTCGGATAGAGTTACTTCCTCTAACCTTGTCCAAGATCACAGAACTAGGATTTGGATCAGAGTCTGCACCTGACCTCTATACCCTGTTTCCTAAGTGGGCAGTCACTCAGGGTTACCATTTCAATGGTCATCCCATAGCCCAAGCTTCCTGAACCTGATGGAGGAGGAGTTCTTGGAGGTTTCTATCACAATGCAGGTTCTTGGATGGGGAAATGGCTCAGTGGGTAAAGTGCTTGCCATATAAGCAAGAGGACCCAGTTTAAGCTCCAGTACCCACAGAAAGAGCTGCATGTGGTGGCACCTGTCAGTAACCCAGCTCTGGGAAGATGGAGACAGAAGGACTTCTAGATCTTGCTGGATAGCCAGCCATACCAAGCCGGTCAGCTCCAGGTTAGTGAGGAACTGGAAAGAAAGAAAGAAAGAAAGAAAGAAAGAAAGAAAGAAAGAAAGAAAGAAAGAAAGAAAGAAAGAAAGAAAGAAAGAAAGAAAGGAGAANAAGAAAGAAAGAAAGAAAGAAAGAAAGAAAGAAAGAAAGAAAGAAAGAAAGAAAGAAAGAAAGGAGAAGAGAAGAGAAGAGAAGAGAAGAGAAAGAAAGAAAGAAAGAAAGAAAGAAAGAAAGAAAGAAAGAAAGAAAGGGAAGTGCAATGGAAGAAGACCTTCTTGTTTGACCTCTAGCCTCCACACGCATGTGCACAGATAAGCCTGCACACCCCATCCCCAACACACGCCAACATAGGTCCTGATTTGCTGAATCTAAGGTGGGGCTCTGGATTCTCTCTCTAGAACACTGCCAGGCAGGGTACCACACTTAATGATGACATGTAGAGCCTGATTCAAGCCGCTCTCAAACTCAAGGCCCACAAGAAAGTTATGTGGAGAGAGCTGTGGCAGAAGAGAGTGAATGCTGACTTTAATGGTCAGCCATTCCTCTGCCTCAGCTAGAGAGATTCCACGGCTAATGTGGGTCTATAGCTGTGGGTAGTCTCCCAGAGACAGAGGCAGGCGGATCTCTGTGAGTTTGAGGCCAGCCAAGTCTACAAGAGTTTGTTCCAGGACAGACTCCAAAACTACACAGAAAAACCCTGTCTCGAAAAACCAACCAGCTGGGCTGGAGAGATGGCTCAGAGGTTAAGAGCACTGCCTGCTCTTCCAGAGGTCCTGAGTTCAATTCCCAGCAACCACATGGTGGCTCACAAACCATCTATAATGAGATCTGGTGACCTCTTCTGGTCTGGTGGCATCCATGCAAATAGAACACTGTATCCATAACAAATAAATAAAAATCTTTAAAAAAAAAGAAAAAAGAAAAACCAACCAGCCAAAAAAACAAAAACAAATAAAAAAACCCCATCCTTTGTAAGTGCATGTAGGCTCACAGCAGCTTTACTCATGACAACCCCAACTGAAAAGCAGCCCAGTGCACCCTATGCCATTGGCATACAATGGTTATTATTTGACAGACACATGCTTCAGCAAGAAGAAACAAAAGGAAGAATATAAGCTGGGGAAACCTACAGAGGCGGATCATAGGAACCAGCGAGTAGCACAGGGAGTATTAGTGAGTACAGAGTGACTTTGGGAGGATGATAAATATGTCCTAAAGTTAGGTTATGCCCACGACTGTACAGCTCTGAATGTACTAAGAACTGTTGAACTGACGGTTTTCCATGAGTGAGATGCACGTTATTTAGATCATATTTCAATACAGTTATCAAGCTGTGCAGGAGAGCTCTAGCTTCTTTCATATATAAAACACAAATCAATTTTCTTGCTGCAAATCAACAAGAAAGAGGTTAGGGTTGAAAAGATGGTCAGTGGTAGAGCATCGCTGCTGTCTCAGAGCACCAGAGGACAGCTTTCCCGTAACTCTAGCTCAGGGGATCTATGCCTTCTTCTGACTGTACAGGCACCTGTGCACACACACACACACACAAACATACATACACACACACACAAACACACATACACACAAACATACACACACATACATACACACATACACACAAACATACATACAAACATACACACACATACATACACACATATACACAAGCATACATACAAATACATACACACACAAACATACATATATACACACATACACACACACACTTTTAAAGTTAACCCCCCCAAAGAGAAACAGTCCATGAAATATAAACAAACCATTTTTAAATACATGCAAAAATGTGTCTTCCTCATTATGAAAGATGTGAGAAGCCCTTGTACCTGTTAGATTAGTGATGCTATGGCTTCCCCTAAGGTAGAAAGGTGCATTTCAAGACCCTCAGTGGCTGTCTGCTCTGGGCTGCAACTAGGCATTGAAGGTCTAAGATCAAAATTTCTTCCCTCGGTTTCCCAACAGAGTAATTGTTCTCACCAAAGGTTTTTAGCAACCTCAGACTTTTTCCCCCCTTTCTTTATGATATTGGCTGATTTCCCCTTTTGGGGCGATGGAATCACGTTACGGCCTCTCCTTGGTAAATGAGTTGTCTGCTCCCCTACTCCTGTGATCCAGGGCAATTACTGTGCACAGTGAGGGCCACTTGAACACAAGCACGGTAGATCCTGCAGTTCATCTGGGAACAGCCACTCACTGAATAGCTGATGGGCAGGTAGCATAGACAGCATGGACACACGGGACAATGGGGCATTGCTGGAGAGTGCGCTCATCTTGTTCCTCAGAACTGTGCACAGTATGGAGCTCACATGGCGCTTGTTTCTGAGATTGTCAAATCCTTTCAGATGGGTTGAGCACAGACAACTGCAGCTGGGGAAAACAAGCAAGTGGCAGGAGCCATTAGCTAGAACCCCACTCCTGGGGATCTGGGGTGCGACGCTGGTGAAGCCTTGTGCGAGCGGAGGCAGCAGCAATAGGCACTACCACTAAAAATAGTGCACATACCCTGTGCCCCGGAAGTCTCACTTCTGGAAATTTACTCTTCAAAGCCATGTAAGTTGACACGTGTACCAAGCGCTCATGGAAGCACACGTTGAGCTCTCGTGGATTCTGCCGCCATGCAGCTGTGAAGCAGAAGACAGTCGCTTACTGGGACAGACATGAAGGAAACACCAGGATTAATTGGGTTGGAGATGTAGGTCAGGTGGTATAGTGCTTGCCCAACATGTACATGGCCCTGGATTTGATTCCCAGGGTACCATAAAGCAGGTATGGTGGTACAGATCTGTAACCCCAGCCCTGGGAAGCAGGGCTGGAGGATTAGAAGTTCGAGATCATCTTTGTCTATGTTGTAAGTTAAAGCCAGACTGTGATACATGAGACCTTATATCTCAAAAGAAAAAAACAAGTGATGAGGCATGCGTGTCATCTGTGTCTGTCTGGCGACTGACAGGGGCCTAGACAAATATACTGATGCCCCCAGAGACTGAATAAGAGGGTGTCTTTTCATCTTTCATGAACACTGGAAGCCGAGACAGGAGGTTTGAGTTCAAATCCAGTCAAGAAAGGACTGGCTCCATGTAGGGAAGCGCACAGTTGGCGCAGGGGGCAGCGGAGGCGATTCCCTTCCATCAGACACTAGTTTCTGTCCTTGTGTGGTCACATCCCTGGTGGGACAAAGCACCTGTGCCCATCCCGCTGCCCCTGCAACATCTGAGATGAAAACGTAACTCCTTAGAAGCCTGTACCTCACTGTCTCTGTCGTGGCGTAAATGGGGAGCTCCGACCCCTAGGATTTGCAGGTGTGGTCTGGAGGCGACCATCTTACTTTCTAGATTGGTGGCAGAAGGGCGAGCTTATAGGACAGGATGCAGACTATGAAAGCTGAAGGCCAAGGCCCCACTTACTGTATTTACTTCTTGTCCTCCAGGCACGTCCCAAAGGAGAGGGGCTGACCCCATACCAAGGCAAGAAGCGCTGCTTTGGCGAGTACAAGTGTCCCAAGTGCAAGAGAAAATGGATGAGCGGGAACTCCTGGGCCAACATGGGGCAGGAGTGCATCAAGTGCCACATTAACGTGTACCCGCACAAGCAGGTGGGTATGCAGGGCCTCTGGGCGAGGAAGGAGCTAGGAGTGGGCAGCCTGCAGTGGGTGGGGCTTGGGGGAGGGCTGGCAGGGTGTTCTCTGGGTGAGGTAGGCAGAAAGGGTAGGCTGACTAGGACAGGGAGTAGGACAGCCCAATTTCTACAAGGTGTCCAGTGTCGGAGATCCGAGGGTTGCAGATCTGAGGGACTCACATAAGATCTTGTGACCCAGGCAGAGGTCAACTCACTCTCTCAGGGCCAGGGGAACCGGACACCCTGCAGTGTTCCTGTGTGCCCTAGAGTCTGGCAGGGCAGGCTACTGGTCCCATCTTGCCAGGCTATCCCTTGGTCATTGATGGCTTTCTCTGCCTTCCTCCGCCCCACATCCTACCAGCATGACCTGGGTGTAGCCTGCTGACCTGTTAGTCTGGCTCTACATAGAGGGGCCCAGTCTAGAAAAATCTTTCAAGAGCTTGAGACTCCATTTTTCCCAGTCACCATCATCCAGCCAGAGTTTGTTGAGCGCCTACTGTGTGCACTGGGGAGCCTGCCGCACAAAGGATTTGTACCATTTACATCCATTCCAGGTGAAGTTCTGGGCTCCTGGGCTCTCTTGCTTCTGTGGTTTGAGCTTTGGGAACACTGCCTCCTTGTTGTACTACAGGAGGCAGTGGAGCCAGGGGATGGAGAAGGGCTCTTGCCCCTCCCCCAGGGCTGACCTGGGCCACCTCGTTCCTCTGAGAGCCCCTGCCCCCACTACATCTGTTTCCTGTTAGGCTCGGACTGTGTCTCCCCGAGACAACCCAGCTCCCCCAGAAGAGAAGAAAATGCTAATGGGCTTTGCTTCCCTGCTGGGGGCGGGGGGGGGGAGCCTCCCAGATCAGTCCCAGCTGCTGGGTGTTTCCTTCCACAGAGGGGAGTCATCCTGACAGCTCCCCCAAGCTCCCGACTGGCGGCCTGCAGCTGTAGGCTGAACACCAAGGCCAAGGAGAAGAGCAGTTCAAAGGAACTAGGGCTGGCCAGGAGGGTCAGGCAAGAGCATTTCCCAAGGATTCAACCCATGATCCTGCCCCTTCAAAATATTACTGATCGTGTACAACATCAGCTGTGGTTTCCCGTGGGCCAGGTGCCATTCTAACCGCCCTCCACTACAGCCCCATCGGACACACTCTCTGTCAGATACATTGTATGGAGGAGAGACAAGCAGAGATGAAGTGGTTTGCTGACGGTCCACACAGATATTAGGAAGTCTTTGTGGAACTCTGTGGTTATAGAAACCCCCCCCCCACACACACACACCCCTAAACAAAGACAGCACCTGTCACTAACCTCTAGCGCAGGCTGCAGAAAGACAAGCTGAGGTGGCAGCTCTCAGTCAAGGTATGGCAGAAGTACTGTTCAAAGCAGCTTGACTTGTGATACCATGAGCCGAGGACACACTGCAGAGGAGCGGTTTCCCAGAATGCCCTTCAAGCCTCTCCGCTCTCCTCATTGACTCAGCCCTCATCCCTGGAAGCGCTGGACCTCTGTCAACCCCTGGGATGACACCCAGGAAAGCAGTGCCCAGCGGGGTGGGCGGAGCAAGGCAGGCACTAGTGAGTTCTCAGGGGCCAGGACCACGGGGGTGGGAGCCGCCTCATAGGAAGGATGCTACTTTGGAGACAGACAGGGATCTGGAGCAGGCTAGAAGAGCACATGAGATCTAGAGCTAGTCCCGGGATGGGGACAGGCAGCATTCCCAACAGTGTGTGGCTTGACATTCATCATCTCCTCTCTGGAGGCCTCTGGACAAGACTTTTAAATAGCTTAAGGTTTCCTCATCTGTGGTAAGCCACCACTCCCATGGAAGCTGTGCCCTTGAGTCAGCCTGAGTTACATGGCCTGACCACACAAAGCCCAAACCAGCAGGAGTCAAGGCATTAGAGGCTGGTTCACTCCTGTCCCTCTTTGCCCTACTAGAAGACTGGTTCATGGAGGCTGGGGGTAGTGGAGTGTGGGCAGCAGTGGAAAATGGCTAAACATCAGCTTGGGTTTGGTGTGAGGTAGGTCAGGGCTCCTATAGCCATGCCTTTCTTTGGGAGCCAAGCAAAGAGCACAGGAGCACAGGAGCTCAGACCTCCAAGATGAACGCATAAAGATCCAGATTCCAGCTCAAGATGGAGTCCTTCAGACAGAGCATACAATGACCTGGGGCTGTGCTCAGCCAGCAGAGACTCAGTTTCCTGACCCTGGGGGCATGCAAACTCATAAAGAGAGAGGTTAGTGCTGGCTCCCATTCTCTGGGACATCTAGAAAGGCAGGGGGATCACCCACCTCCTACTTGGATTGACCCTATGTCACTGCCCCCTCCCATTAATATTAAAAATAAACAAAATAAACCAGCACCTTGAAGGACCATTCCTCTAGCTAGTCTTTGCCTTCGCTAGGTTTGCTGAGAACAACTCCCTGAAAAAGGCACCCCCTTTACAAGAGGGAATGAGATGGGGTCCGAGGATGGTCAGGTGGCCAGGCCAAGGCCACATAGCCAGTGTTTGGAGGCGGAGCTCCTCCCATCTGGGACCTGCAGGAAAATCAAACTCTCCTTTCCCCTGCTGGGATAGAATAGGTGAGGCCAGTCCTCTGGAAGGCCCTTAGTTCCAAGGCCTGGCTCTCTTCCTTCCAGTTCTTTCCTTTGTAGCTAAAGCTTTAAAAGGCTGAGTTTATAGACACCCACTTCCGGGGCAGCCAAAAAGTAGAATCCTGTCCACCTACAGCCTAAACCCTCAGCTTACAGAACCATCCGTTCCATTTGCCCAACTGCTTTGTGTGTCAGCTTGGGTCAAGTCCCGGACCATAAGGAGAAAACAGCCTGCTACTGCTGAGGACAGTCTACCCTGCTGGGCATGCCACTGGGACCCAAGGGTCTTTGCCTCAAGCCCCATGTCAGTCTATAGTTTCTGCTTCCCTCTTTTTGCCAGCTGGCTCCCAGCTGGCCCTGACCAGCTTCCTCTGAGCCCCCCAAGTCCGTGCAGAGAATCCTTCTGCAGACAGTTGTCATTCTGGGGGTGGAAGGACAGAGTCGTTGTTGCCATCTGACATGCTGTGCACTCCGGAGCTGCGCCTCATGATCTCTGCAATGACTACAGGTCTCTGTTGACTCTTGTGGGTAGGGTAAGGAGGGAGAGCAGGCAGGGAAACCCAAAACTGTCTAAAGTCCAAAAACCTAAGGGCTGGTGAGATGCCTCAGGGGAAAGGGTCTTGCCACCAAGTGTGAAGACCTGAGTTCAGTCCCTAGGACCCACATGGTGGAAGACGAGGACTGACTTCTACAAGTTGTCCTCTGACCCCCACACTCAGGCTGTGGCACACATGCACACGTGTGAACACACACACACACACACTTAACACATACACAAGTAAATACATGTAATTTTGAGAAAGGTACTTGTGTGTGCCTAATGCAGCCCAGGTTACCAACAGCTAGCCTCTCTCGGAGTCCTTCCAAACGTTGCAAATAAGCACTGTAACAGCCTGCTTTACAGACGGCAGGAGCCGCACAAGTGGTGCAACAGGCCTGGCAAGTTGCCTCCTTTCTCTCAGTTTCCCCATTAGAAAACAACGAGGCAGCTGAGCGCGCCTTTAACCCAGCACTCAGGAGGCAGAGGCAGGTGGATCTCTGTGAGTTCACAGCCAGCCTGGTCTACAGGATGAGTTCCAGGACAGCTAGGACTGTTTCACAGAGAAACCCTGTCTCGAAAGAAAGTAGAAAAGAAAAGAAAAGAAGAGAGAGAGAGAGAGAGAGAGAGAGAGAGAGAGAGAGAGAGAAGAAAAGAAAGGAAGGAAGGAAGGAAGGAAGGAAGGAAGGAAGGAAGAAAGAAAGAAAGAAAGAAAGAAAGAAAGAAAGAAAGAAAGAAAGAAAGAGGCTCTGTTTAATAGTCACTCAATAAATGGGCAGACACTGGGACAGGCGCTAGGCTTGGGTTGGCCCCAGGCCCCAGACTGGCTTTCTGGAACTAAGAGCTGTTGCCCCTTGGGCTGAAGTGTTGTACCCATGTCCAGGATAATTTTTTGAGTCCCAAGGCCACTGGACTGACAAGGGGACAGATGTGAGGTGGGGTTTACTTCACCTGAGACTCAGTTTCTTCATCCAGCAGATGTCTTTGCATCCCAGTCCTGCATTGGTTTTTGGGCTGGATTTGGGAGCTCTCTGAACTTCATTCAGGGGACAGTTGCCAAGAGAGGACTGCAGATCAAGCAACTTATCTGCCTATGGTTCCAGGTCTAAGACCCCTGCCTTGACTCTAGTCAGCCCAGAAATTTTACCTCAGCCTCCTGGACACGTGTCTGCAAATGGGCAGAAGGTGGGGTACCAAAGCGTTGGCTGAGCTTCCTCCGTAACTGCCGGTCCTCTCCCTCCTCCCCTCGGCCTGTTCCTTCTTCTCTTTGCAGAGACCCCTGGAGAAGCCTGATGGCCTGGATGTATCTGACCAGAGCAAGGAGCACCCGCAGCACCTCTGTGAAAAGTGCAAGGTCCTGGGCTACTACTGTCGTCGTGTGCAGTGACCTTGGCTGCCACTGCAGAACCCCTCAGCTACCACCTCCCTGTGCTGCCCAAGGGGCTGAATGTCCCTATACCTGAGGAGACCTCACAGGCCTGTGGGCTTACGCAGAGGAGGCTCATGTCCTTGTTTCATGTGCTAACTGTGTGGCTGACTTGCTCTGGACAGGGTGCAGAGACAGGAGGTTCAGGGACTCTTCACCAGAGGCCTGGACTCTGTAGAGGGACAGAGGCCAGCGGAAGTCTTGGTATTCTCACAGGCTCTCTTCCCGAGTGTCTTTGGGACTGAGTGGCTTTGTATCTGCCACAAGTACACCAGTGAACTGTGAATCCTGAGGCCTGTGGGAAGTCTTCCCTCCAAGACCAGCCAGGTCCTATCCCACCCAGAGCCTTGCAGCTTGCCTCCTATGAAAAGCCACTCTGGGGAATTCCTGTTTCATTCCTAATCTGTAGTCACAGAGGGCAGTTACTTCTTCTAGCAGCTGCTGAGGAGTGGTTGTCTGTTGGGCCCACAGTGAGTCCCAAATCTGACCACCCCTGATGTCACTGAATGGTAGCTAAATACAGCCTCCCCTGCCAATGGAACTGGCAGGCAGGGCGACATTAAACATCCTAGGGATATCAGGCATCACCTCCCATGACCTCCCCTAGACTGTCCCGTAGGCTTGGGTTCTATCGGCTGCTCTCTTCTCATCCTTAGCCTTCCATCCATGTCAGGGATGCACTCCACAAAAGCTGCAAGCCTGCTTCAGCATGGAGGATGCAGGTCTTGGCATTCTGGAGCTACTTTATGCTACCTGGGACAAGGGCATCTCATCTCCAGCCTCAGTTTCCCCACTCATTAAGTGAGAAAGTGCCACCAGAGGCCCCAGTAAACTTTGGTGTTCTAGAAGAAAGATGGTTGCCTCCGGAACACAGAGCATCACTGGGGGGATGGGATGCGGGATGGGATGCCCCTAGCCAACCAGGTGTACTGCCTTCCAAACCTCTGCTCCTGGTAGCCACTTAGGCTGAGTGATGCCGGGTCCTCTCCTGCAGCCATCCTTGTCTGATGTTTCAATCCCCTGAGAAGATGGAAGATGATCCCCTTCCCAGGTCTCCTCAGCCCCTCACACTGGGCAAGTCTAAAATGAGCCACAGAACCTCTCCTTTGGAAGCTGGGGATAGTGATTCCCTACTTTTCCAGGAAGGCAGAGAAACCTCCTGGCATGTCACATGGCCCGGGAGGACCGCTGTCCTGGCCAGGGTCAGCGGCGCCCCCTCTCCTTGTGACAAGCCACGTTCTCTCGTCTTTCTCCTCCTCACCAGCTGCCACGACTGAGTAGCTTGACTTTGCCCCAACACTATGCCATTATGGAGAAGAAGAAGAAAAAAAAAAGTCAGACCATGAAATAGGCCTGAAATTCAGTGTTTACACATGGTGCCCAGTTGCCCTTTGTTTTCAAATGAAGATGCTTTGTATGACTGAGGAGTCACAGTGAAGTGTTAACCTAGGGTCCAGGGAGTGAGTGGAAGAGACGGGTGGGCGTGTCTGCAGCCAGATAGCTGCAGGATAGATTTTGGGAGAACATACCCTCTGAACACTTAACAAAGGTATATCTGTGGCAGTCCAGGGCACTAGCTGCCACCCTGCTGCCTAGGAGTGGCATGCTGGGCTGCAGACTGTGAGCACCCAGCACCAAAGACTTTCCAGCCTTGCTGCCACACTAGGGCTGCCCCATGCCAAGCTTCCTGTCGCGTAGAAAAGGGCTGTTTCTGTCAGTCATCCCACTGGGCCCCTAAAGAGAGTGTTTACAGCAGTGGGCATTGTGCTGTGTCCCAAATGAGGACACGTTAGGCATGGGTGAGCTGGGGTGAAGATTCAAAGAGCCCAGCAACAGAGGAAGTCGGGGTAGGCAGAAGGTGGGACAGGTGACCATTTTGGTCACTGTACTGAGTCTGTGCACAGCCAGGCCCTCTTGACTCAGGCAGCTCCTCTCTAGTCTTGCCTTGCAATAATTTGGCTGAACTTGTGACCTTTTTGAGGCAAGCAAAAGATACCACTATCTAGGCTGGGTGCTGGGGGACTTAATGCTCAGAGGGTCTGGGAGCCCAGGAGACAAGAAAGTGTGTGGTTTTACTACATTCAAAAGGGACAATCGCTTGCAGTCAGTAGATCTAGCGATCTAGTAGCGAGAGAATGGTGTTTACCCCATATGAAGTATTCAATAGCTCTACTTGTGAATTTGTATTTATTTTGAGTTATACTTGACACAGAATTCTTTTTTTAAAAAAAATGCTATGTGTGTATTTTGGGAAAAAATTCATAGATGTTAAAAATTCCTGCACGGTTACCAGTTTTTCTTGGGACACTGAACTTAGTAGCCTCTCCCCCCAAAATTCTTCATAGTAACTTTTGTTTGTATATATTTGAGGGTTTTTTTTTTAGAGAAAAGAAAAATAAGATTGCTTGATATTGTTGAAATTGAAAACAACAAGAAGAGGCATTTTTTAAAAAATGCCAGTGCTTTTGAGAGGACAATCCATATTGAGCGGATTTCTAGATGGAGTTTTGCAAGTCTGGCTGATCTGTAAGAGAATATATAGTGAGAACTTTTCCTTTTCCTTGTTATTTTTTTCTATGCTTTGGTCTGTAAAAAGTAGGCAACTGAACTCCATTAAGAAGGAAATATTATCTACATAGAATTATTATATGAAGTTGGTACATAATTCTAACGAGGAAAAAAACTTTGTAATCCTTTGAGCTATGTTGTTTTTTTTCTATTTTGTTTTCCTTGGATGAAAATATCAGTATTAAGCAGCCAGTATATTATTCAAGTGTTTAGATTTATTAATATGCTCTTGTCCTGTATTTATACCTTTGTGTATTTTGAAAATATTGCTTTGTTAAGGGGAGTTACCAATGGACAACATGGTAAAAAGGGAACAGAGATCCTTTGCGCCTCTTGCTCTGAGGTTGGCAGATGGTATTGTAATCTTTTCTCCTGCACCTTTGTGTTATTATCTTGTTATTATGGTTTTATTAATTTTTTTAGGGGAGGGCAGGAAATGGGCAAGGGAAAAGGACACATCAGATGAAAGAGTCCTTTGGTCTGCTAGCCCATTGGCCTTGCCAGCGAGACCCAACCAGGTACAAGAAAACAGGAGGCAGGCTTCCTCCTCACCTGCCCGAGCCCTGACTCCCAGCCCCATACTCTTTGAACTTGGATCTGTTCACCTGAGCCCTTATGCCTGCCTTTTAGCATCTAATGGACTTGAATCTACTCTAAACAAAAGTCTAATCCAACCTCACTACATTGTAGCCAGTGCAACAACTAACAGTGATGTAGGGGGTGTTGCAGCTTCTGGGAGTTGGCAATGAGGATCATCGTTTGCTCTCATGGCCAACTTCTCTGTACCAACACCTGCACCCCCAATAGGTGACCCTGTTCATGTTTGTATCTGTTCATGTGTGTGCATTCAGCTAAGAAGACAAACAGAACCCGTGAGCCCTGCCTGGAGGGTGCGTGGAGAAGGCTCCTGACTTCCCTGAAGGGCCGGCCTCGGGGTGGCATTCCGTTGTGTGCCTTATTCCTGAAGACTCTATATACGGCTTGCCTATGAGAATATAGCCTTTCTGTGCTGTATTAAAAGAACTTTGGAAAGAAGGAGGCTTGTGAGTTTGTTTACAAGGAGCATGGGGGAGGCTGGAGGTTTTCACAGATGTGGGACAAGGCAGGGGTGGGAAGAACTTGGGCGGCATTTAGTTCCCCCAAGTCTGGTCGTATTGTCCTTGCCCTGCCTTCACCATTGCCCTGCCTCCTCCCAGTCCTTTGCCCTCAAGTGAATGCTCTTTCTAAAGTGAGGGCTCTCCCCATGCGGGGCCCCAACTGGGTGAGATTGTCAGTAGATTAAGTCACACATGAACTCAGATGGACTCCCACTCCTGGGTAACCATATATAGGAGTAACTTAGTCTCAGAGAGTTCAGCCCTGGGCTCTGATGTGGCTGCACATGTTTGAATGTGAGCCCAGGATTGGGGTCCAAGACACTGGCTATCGCATGCAAGCAAGGGGAGAGGGAGCAGGGAGTTCCTTTGATCAAGGCCAGGACTGGACAGGGCTGGCACAGGTTGGCGTCTGTAGGAATAAAGCACCACCCCGAGAGGCTGCTTGTCCATGAAGCCTCTTGGCCAAGCATTGGTACTTCCCTTCAGTCTTGCTGTTCACCCGTCACCTACAGAGACAGCAATGCTAAGACATTGGTCTGAACGTGTCCTTGGGTTCTTAAAGACCCCTGGGTGCACTGTGTACCCTGAGCAGCACCTGGTCTGAGGAATCCCCTTATGGTCCTGGGGGGCACTAATAGTACTGTCAGTGAGGGGCTGCTGAAGAGGGGCCTTCAGTTCCTGTCTGGAGCCAGCTTACTAGCTAAGACTACTGCTGCCTGGTGGGCAGGGGATTGGGAGTAAAACTGGAAATCCCAGTTTTGAGTTTTAAGTTTCCAGGTTACTAAATTTAAATAAAGTCAAAGTGCATATGTGTGGGCAAGCTCCTGCCTCCAGACCCTGGACTCCAGATGGGGCTAAGAAAACTAAAGGGGAGGGGAGGGGACCAGCAACAACAGAGACAACTAACTCCAGAAGCAAGAGCCTTGTTTGATTTGTGCTGTTGGGTGAGCCCTAGAAGTCACCAAGTCTTTTCCTTCAGAGTAACAAAGAGAATTCCTGCTTATCCTTAGGTGTGTAAATACCAGGCAGGCTGGGGTCTGCGTGGAAACAGTATCAGTCCAGCCAAGCAGGTGAGTGGAGGGACCCCACACCACAGCGTGGACAAAGGACAGAATGAATCTTGTTTTGTTTTCAAGATAGGGTTTCTATGTGTAGCCCTAGCTGGCCTGGAACTAGTGTTGTAGACCAGGCTGGCCTTGAACTCACAAAAACCTGCCTGCCTCTGCCTCCCAAGTGCTGGGATTAAAGGCGCGTGCCACCACCACCTGGCCAGATTGACTCTGTGTATGACCCTGCAGCTAGTCACATGCCAACTGGTGGGACCTCAACTAGCACCTAGAAGGATGCCAAGCAGAGAGCGCCCTGTCCTCCCCCATCACCCATCCCTCTGAGGCCCCACTCCCTCAGGGGAGGTGACCTCTCGGTCCCACTGTCTGCTGCTTAGCCAGCAACACTTAGTTCACACTACATGAGCGAGTGGGAAGGGGAGTGAGCCTTGAACCCAGGATCCCTGTGCTAGCTGCCCAGCCTGAAGCTTCCAGGCTGGCTTTCAGTTTTCTGGCTTAGCCTCCTGTCACTCCCCCCCCCCCCCAGTGTGTGTGTGTGTGTGTGTGTGTGTGCATGCATCATATGTGCACTTTGGGCTCCATGGAAAGAAAACAAACCCAAAGCAAACACAGGATGGATTTCGACACTTCCCGAAACTGTGGAAATCAATAATTCCCCTGGACAGGAAGGATTTCCGGTTGGACTTAATGCTCACATCCAGAGGCAGCAGCCACTAAGGGGCCCAGGAGAGCAGCAGTCACCAAAGAAGGGATCTTGGAAGGATGTGAGAAACCAGCCCAGCTCTAGGAATAAGCTAGGGTGCCCAGAAAGGCAAGTCTTTCCTGATGTCACCCACTGGGCTAATTGCCCCCTTCCTCCCAGGCTCTGACAGCTATCTGGGCTTTCTAGTCTCGTATACCCTTCAAATAGTGTTGAGGGGGCCAGAGTAGAGTGGACTATGCCAATGGGGTAGGAGGAGAAACTGAGACTGGAGGGTCCTGATGCCTACAACTGCGGTGGGGTCTCAAATTATTAACAGCTTCTTTTGAACCAGGCTAAGTACCCCAGAATTGAGTTGATCTTCTGTAAGATTAGCAAGCAGACGCCATTGTGTCTTGGTATCCTGACCCCAGTTCCCTATGCCTTGGAAGTACAAGGACTGGACATCCAAACAGCTACCAGGCCAGGGTGCCTGAGCCTGCTGTCCTGGCAGAGAGAGAAGAGGCTGAGAGGGAGGAGTGGAGTGGGCTTTCCTCTCGGGAGTCAGCTCTTCCCTCAGAGCGCTGGCCACAGCTAGGAACAGCCTGTCCTGGGCTCAGATTTCCTTAAAACTTCCTCCCTCATCTATCCTGATGCCAGAGTCCCAGGGGAGATATTAGAGGTCTTGGTTCCCCTGCCCCACTCTCAGCCCCACCCCTCCTCCACTTGTGCTGCGAGCAAGCACACACAAACACACAGCAGGCCAGCTAGCTGTCTGCAGCAGATAGCCCTTGGGAGGTGGGGGTTGTTTCCCTGATGACAAGCCTCTCCTGAAGGTGGAGACTACCAGCCTGTATGCCCAGGAAAGCCCTCTCATTCCCCTCTTAACCAGTGTTTTCTCTCAAAAGTGAGGAAACTTCAGAGCACAAGGGAAATGAACTTCCTGTGGAAGCAGCGACCACGGTTCCCACAGGCCGTAAGGGCCTCATCAGGAATGGAAGATAGGAGATAGGGACGAAAGCCAGGCCTGGGCCCTGAGCCCAGCATAGTGAGAAGTCTCACCCACAGCCGAAGGAATTCTGTTTTGAGAGCCGTGATGTCATTGGGGTCACATTTACTGGATACTGGAGTGTCCCGGCTCACATGAGACAATGCCTGGGCTTGCTTTTTCAACCCAGAGTGCGGAGGTAGGGAACATAGGAAGGAGACTGGCAAACAAGATGGCAGTGGCTCCGCGCAGGTCTGGTAACAGGTTGGCTGTGCTGTCTCTCCGCCGCTCTTCCCTCACCTGGGTCAGAGGTAAACTTCAAGTCAAGCCAGGAAGAACGGGCGCAAGATGTAGAGGGGCACTTGGGGGGTGTGCCAGACCCTGGGCTACCCAGTTCATACACATCGTCCCTCTTGCTCCTGGCAGTAACTGTGAGATGGGGGTCAGAGTAAGTTGAAACCTACAGTGGGAAAGCCAAGGTTCGGAAAAGTTGAGAGACTTGAAAAACCTCTCAGAGTTGTTTCTCCACCTCTGCCTTCAGGGAACAGCAGACCTCAGGTCAGAGCTCTGCTTCCTGCAGGCCCTGGATTTGACTGTCCGTTCCCCAGCCCCCGCACTCTGTCCTGACCCCAGTGCTCCCTCATGCACTCTGTCCACTGGCAAGCTGACTTCCTGCATTGCTCAGGGAAGACAGAGCTTGGACCTGTCAGCTCTCCTTGGCCCACAGGCTGTTACTCTCCCTTCACCAGGCACACACCCTGCTAGGTCCATTCTGCTGCCTGTTTCCTTGTTAAGTTTGGGGGGGAGGGGACAACAACAAAAAAAAACCTTGCCCAGCAAGTCATGGAAGACATTCAAACTGTGCTCTTTGTCCTCTCACCACTCACAGGCCAGTCAAAAATTCCTTCTCGCCGGGCGGTGGTGGCACACACCTTTAAATCCCAGCACTCGGGAGGCAGAGGCAGGCGGATCTCTGTGAGTT